CTGAGTCGAATCAGAAAGCAGGGAACAGGCCCTGTGGTTCTTGGGCCTGAGGCCTCCTACTTCCACTAGGCCCTTTGGAATCTTTTTTTTTTTTTGGGGGGGGGGGCGGTACCGGGGATTGAACCCAGGGGCACTGGCCCACTGAGCCATATCCTCAGCTCTATTTTGTATTTTATTCAGAGAAAGGGTCTCACTGAGTTGCTTAGTGACTTGCCATTGCTGAGGCTGGCTTTGAACTCGTGATCCTTCTGCCTCAGCCTACGGAGCTACTGGGATCATAGGTGTGTGCCACTGTGCCTGGCTTGGGATCATTTTTATTCAAAGGGAAACACATTACTCTGTATTCCTTAGTGGGTTTGAGTGAAAAGTCCCACATGGTGAGCCTGTGAATGGGATCTAGCCAGTACACTGTGTCGGACCCACACACATATTTTCTTAAACATTTTAAAATTAGTTGCCACATGGGACATGTAGAAAGAAGTTTCGCCTTTTTAAAACGCAGATTTTGAGTTTTTTTTTTCCCTGCAATACGAGATCTGCCGACACTCAGCCCTCATTCCTGTGTGACAATTAGTGAGACAGAGTACCACCTGGCCTCTGTAGAGGGGACAGATGCTCCTCATCTGCCGCAGTCCACAATGCTCCCTCCTGCCTTTACCCAGCCCACTTCAATGTTTGTGAGACCTACCTTATCATTGGGTTTTTGTCAGCCTGTGTGCTGGGCTTTGCAAGCCTCTTACAAACCTCTGAGGGAAGAAAGTGAAGAGCCCATTTGGAAGGGAGAATGAAAGGGGTGAGGGAGGCTTATAGGAGAAAGCAGATCTATACTTTGAATATTCTTCTGTTGTCTTTACTCTTAAATTCCTAATGCATTTTTTTTTCCTGTTCAACGCATGCACTTGGTTCACCTTAGTCAACACTGCTCTTCGAACGACCAAGAAAGAATACAACTGGAAGAGAAAAGATATGGTAATGAACTTGGCACTCTGAAAATGTTTTTCTTTTTGCATTAAACTGCAGAGCAAAGGTGGACTGTGAGGTCAAGGAGCAATGTGCAGGTGTTGAGGAAAGAGGCCCCTTGCTGCAGCTCATTAATTTGGACAAATYGAGATAAAGCTCATCTGGATTACTTAAAAATTAAAATTATAGAGTATTTWTGAAATAAGTAATTTTTCCACCCAATTTCCCCTTCCTTGATCTCTTCCCTTGGTATTAAGTTAAAAAGTGAGGCTCTGTGGGATCAGGGTGGAGCTGGGACACTAGTGTCAGGGTGCCCATGCTCCTCCTGCCTTTGGAYTCTGCACTCTCTTGGATGTAGGGCACTGGGCCAGGGTGTGTGGCTGCACACTGACCTTGGGCATCTGCCTACRGTATCAGTTTTGCTGAAAGATCTTTTAACTCTTAGGTTATTTAAAGTGTTTTATATTAAAGTGAACATTATGGAGTAGGATGGCGAACTTGCATGAATTTTTAAGGACAACACCAAACATTTTTAAAATGGAAAGTCCTCTAGTTTTGGCCCCCATGTCCTTTTCTACGTTCCTCAGCAATCATGGCTAGTTTAGGAAAKACTGAGGAGTGCTGGAAACCAGGGCTAGAGCTGGGGAGGGAAGGGGGCTTGTCAYRATGGACCSGGACAGGGCAGAGACRAGTCTGGTGGGTGGGCGCTGCCCRCAATGCTGTGGCTCTAGGGTCTCTGCTAGCCCCCCAGCAGAGCCCATCTGCCCGTGTTTGGGCAGAGTGGAGGCGCAGYAGCTCTGACGGCGCAGCAGGTGCTGGGCCAATGTAGAGTGGGGCCAGGTAGGCGACAGAGCTAGGYGTAGGCTTCAGGGGCCTTCAGTGCCCTACCTCCTGCCAGTCTCTAAGCCAGACGTCAGGTCACCCCAAATAAACTTGCATCTGTCATGCAACTGCAGCTTTAAGAGCAGGCCTGTGGCCCACCCCATCCACACCAGATAGCCACCTTAAGACCCTTCTAAGAAAAATTTTGGTCCTCCTCCTGTCATTTCTGATCCTCAAGGTGGTTGGCAGTGTATTTGTTGGGGGAGGGAAAGGTGTACTGATCAGGGTCATGGTCAATAGTTCTTCAAACAAAGCAACTTGGTTCTTTCTATGCAGCCCTCCTGGGGTCGTCCTCTCCTTTCTCTTTAAGGGACTGTATTTCACAGGTGGAAATCTAATTGAGAGCCAAGRAATTGAGCTCATCTGTTACTCTCTTTTCCAGGCCCAATTATTAAAAACAAAAATAAMAACCCAAAACTCTCATTTCACCAATGAATGAAACRAAGTTTCCAGTCTCTGCAGTCAACCATACAGTAAATGGAACTTAACTTTCATAAKGTGCTTCTTTTCCTGAAGCACACCTTTTGACAGACTGATAGAATCTCCTTCCAGTGCAGAGATGCACATGTAGTTAATTACAATGCATKACTCAAAGTCAGATGTTTTAAGGGGGAATGTTCCAGATATTAAAAAAGGGAACTGTTCAGTAAGTTTTCTGGTTCCACTTAGCAGGTAAGACGTTTTCCCTGAAATGTTCATAGTCTAATATTTTACTTTTGACCTTCTTTTGTAGCAGGACACTAGGTACCAATTTCGAAAAGGGCATTGACACAAAWGTGATGTGTGGAGTCGGGTTAAAGGCTGCGCTGCTGTCCTGGTTCGAGCGCTGTAGGATTACCTGACAAGGATTTTCTTAGAAACCGCTGAAACAGCTCACTGCTGGATCTCTTCTGTAAGCAGTGGATGGACTGCTGTAAAAACCGATTCTCAGTAGTTGTATAGTGTACGTGACTTGTTCAGAATTCTTCAGGGTAATGTAAGGTACTTTAAAACTCATGGCCTACCAAATGACACCCTTCTTCTAGCTGAGAGTAAGTTATCAAATGTGTTGTACAATTAATGCATTACTSTCTAAGGCATTAAGACCTGCAAGTTTTATTTGTGAAATTACTATAATTAATCCCTCCTGATATTTTTCAAAGTCCAGTTACTCTCCCCTCCCCAGTCTGGGGAACACTGAAAAGTGGACCGTGATCCACAGTCTTGGTCACGGAAAGCAAAGTTGAGGAGTTAACATTCCTACGTTCCCAGTCCTGTTGGTTGTTACTTTTCATTTTATTTTTAAAAGTTAAATAAAGTTGCATGTTGTGGTTGACTTTTTATGATGTTTTAGAATCATTCTCATCTCAGTGAGACTTTGAAGATCACATGACACCCAGGGAGGTCATAGCAGATCTCCATCCTTCCTGTGGAAGTTGAAGGTGAGACCAGACTTTTGACATGATCAGTTCCACATTTATCACTCAGAAGGCCATCAGCCCACACATCTCATGATTCTTGAGAAGTCCGGTGAACTGCCTCTCCAATTCCTTGTTTCTCACATAGCTGYGATGATCATGTGAATTCACTTTCAATGAATAAATTCTTGGAAACACAATATAACTTTTTCTATTTTCAATAAGGGAACKCTACCTTTCCTGTCTGATAGTGTATTTAAAGTGTACCTGGGCTCACTTCTGCCCTAAAAATGCATATTCATTATGGAATATTTTATATTTGCAAAGGACCACTTGCAGTGTCATGGTTTTAAGCTGTTTAGTGAAAGCACCAGCACKTGATTTGAGGGTACATGACTCTTTTCCTTGGGCTCTTCCAGCATTTTTAAATGGCATCAAAGTGTGGAGAAGAGACAGCTGAATGGAACACCAAGGTTCAGATGCCTGAGTGGTGAGGAGCAATAGGTTTACTGAGGTTGGGGAAAAGTTGAAGGACGTGATTCTGTTTGCTTATTCAAGGGCAAATGAATGTCAGACGATTAACTTTAAGAGTCTGCGTAATATTGGAGATTCAGACTCTGCACTGTCAGAAGAGAAAGCTGAAGCCAGACTCTCCATGAGGCAAGGACTGAAGAAGGCAGACGTCAAAGGGAGGGGAGCAATGAGGAACCTAAGCTAGAGAGCCACAGGCCCGGGGCACAGAGTCACCAGTTCTTAGCGGAGGCTGGCACTCCCCAGAATATTGAGCAACTTGGGATTTTCACCTACGTGTCAAACATTCTTAGTGTCACTCAAGTTTTACATGCAGAGAAATCAAGGCAACTAAACTCAATGACTTGTCAAACAGATGGCACTGGGGTTCATGTTCTATGTAAYTCTGTTTAATAAAAAGATGAGGAGTTTCATACAAAGGAAGCCAGGTACCTGGTGCTCTGGGTGGAATGTTCCCCTCAAAATTCAGGTTGCAGCCTGAGGATGGGGCCCTTGATGACTGGGATTGCAGGAGAGATCATCCTCTGTTGGTCAAGTAAGGATCGGACAAGACAGCTGTCCATGAGCCAGGAAGCACACCCGCRCCAGACAGACTGCCTGATGTTGGGCTTCCCAGTCTACGGGATGGTGAGAAGTGATCTTTACTGTTTCAGCCACCCAACCTAAGGTGTCTTTGTTGTAACAGCCCAACCAGACTGAGGCCCACAAATGGGACAGCTGGCACAGTCTAATTAAGTCTGAGGGAGCGTGGATGCACCATTATCATGGTCCTCAAGGTCGACTTTAAGCCCAGCCATTCCATTTAGGCTGAGGTCATGGTCCTTGTACCGGGGATCACAGTCACAGAACTCTAGGACCCGAGTGGGAAACCCGAAGGGACAGAGTGGGCCACAGTGTGTGTGGAACCACAGGCCCCTGGGCCCCCAGCCGTCCTCCACTGTCTTTGGTGAACATACTTCGGGGCTGGAGTCCAAAATACGCTTTTAAAATGCAACAACACAATGAGAATTCTCTCATCCAGTTTCAACAAAGGATTTTATTTTCTGATCCCCAAAAAGCAAAATTTAGAAAACAGCAACCCACTGCAAGGACAGTTCCATGATACACATTCTCACCCGCCTCCCTTCAGTGGGCCCTCCCACACGCACATCATCAACCAAGAGCGGCCCGAGTGTGGGGACACTCTGCGGAGGGCACCTGGCACTTGTCTTGCTCACACCCACAGGGACATCCCCGGCAGGCAAAGATCTCCTCTGCAGGCTCCCCGCCCTCTTTCTGAAAAGTATTTTTTAGTTGTCAGTGGACCTTTATTTTCATGTGGTGCTGAGAAGTGAACCCASGGCCTCACACATGCCAGACCAGGGCTCCACCACTGAGCCCCAGCCCAGCCCCCGCAGCCTCCCTTTTTGAAAGAAATTGATTGAAAAAAAAAWTTTTTTTAACAGCAAAATATAGATGCCTCTCCTTGTCTTCCCACTTCAATTATCTACTAGAAAAGTACAGAATTGAAAAGTTCTGCCCCCAAGTTGTGATCAAAACACTGAATATTAAAGAATGTCTGGGTTACTTCAAGTTCCGGGCCATACACTGAGGCGGTTACAGAGGAGGCTGAGCGTCCATTCTAACACTCCCCGAATGGGTGACAGGCGAAAACCAGATCAACACAGCTGCACACGTTAGTCATCCTGCGAAGGCATGAAGCAAGCTTCCTCCACAACCAACCACCAGTAACACTGAACATAAACCCGCGGAGACCCAACCAGATCTGAGTCTCAAACACGGAGCCTATTTCCGAGAGCTGGGACGTGTGAGCGGAACACTGCTGGTGAAGGCACAGAGTGGGGTCCCGAGGGGTGTTCGTGCCACGTCACTGAAGAAGCCAGAAGCAGAGCGACCCACGACCGCACCGTGATCACTGGATGTCCCTGGGGAGCTGCCGCAGGGCACAGCCCAGGCGGAGACAGCCTCAGGGCTGGGGAGTGTAGCGCAGGTACTTCTTGCCCGAAGGCAGCTCTTTGGTGAAGACTCCTTTAGGGAACAGTGCTTTGGCCTCCTCTTCAGGGATGGTGGGCAGGACCATCACACTCTCTCCGTCCTGTCGAGAGCCATTGGAAAGGGTGAGAAGCAGCCTCACAGTAATGCTGAAGGTCAGTGGCGGGACCCTGGGAGGGCAGCGTGGGCCGATGGCGCCCTCAGTACCCTGCTGCCCTCGGAGGAATTCTGTGTTTGCAGTGGCTCTCTGACCCTTTTGTGAGGGAAGCATTTCCCATCGAGGGCAGTCCTGTCTTAAAGCCACCAGTGGCCTGCCACACCCCGTGGGATGGACCTGGCCTGATCCCTGCTCTAGTCCCCTGCCCCCTCCTGTCCCTCCCACCGCTCTCAGAYGGCTCTTCCCTCACTCTGGATGCCCATCACCCACCTGCTTCATGTCCTCCCCATGGTGGCCAACCACAAAGCCAGCTCTCCTCCCCCACCCTTGGCAGCACTGGTGGTCACGGCTCACAGGCCACAGTCCTGTCTACTGCTGTGCCCGCCCACTGGACAGTAAGTCCACGGGGCAGAGACTGCAGGCTCTTCTGCTCACCGCTAGCTCCCCAGTGCTCACTGCCTGGGCCTGATAAATGTGCTTCACTAATGGATACAGAATTGACAATGATTTGCCTGTCAGAAAAAATAAAACCTGGCATCCAGGGCAGCATATTTTAAAAACTGTAGTGACATGAAGATAATTTTGGGATATTATCCATGTCCAAAATAGCTGCAGATATCTTCAGTGTTTTAGGAATAAGTTTCAGAGCCTTCTACATAGGTTTAAAAGATGGAAGCTTAAGGAAAATGAAATGCTTACTACATGAATACACTAACACTTTTACAGCCATGACTTGAGAAAAATAACCAATCCAGATTTTGTTAGAAATATTCTGTCATCAGGCAAGGGTTAGATAAAAGTACCCCCCCCAATCCTGTTGAGTCTCCCCATCTGAAATGCTTGGGGACGGAAGTATTTCAGATTTTGGAATATTTTTATGAGCTTTATTGCCTGATGATTCCTAACTCAAAAATTTGAAATCTAAAATGTACCATGTCCTTAAGAAGTTCCAGACTTGGGGGCATTTTGGATTGGGGATGCTCAACTTGTTAAAAAAAAAAGAAAGAAATCACCATAACCAATTCATTTGTCCAAATTATCTAAAAGTCAGAAAGCGACTAGGGAGTTACATATTATATATTACAACATATGAAAGTGGAAAGACCGTGTGGCAAATCTTAAACTCAGCCATGAGGAAAAACCCTTGAGAGTGCATGGAACTGGAAACAGAGCCCCGGGTCACGCAGACCCGAGTCCTGCTCAGGCCTTCCAGGCAAGTCGGGGGTCTGCCCTGGGAACAGCTTTACCTTCCAATCAACCGGGGTGGCGACCCTCTTTTCTGCTGTCAGCTGGAGAGAGGTAACTACTCGGAGAATCTCATCAAAGTTCCTGCCAGTGGTGGCTGGGTAGAGGATAGAAAGCTTCAATTTCTTATCAGGACCAAAAACAAACACCTGCAAAGCACAGAAAGGAGCATAAATACAAAGAGTTCTTTCAGTGCTTTTGATTATTCAAGCCACCTAGAAAGCTCTGCAGTCGGTAAAAGTGCTCAAGCATGTCAAAACAAAAACAGAAACAAAGCTTATGTACACCAAACTGCCATCTGTTTTCTTCTCCATGTTACTGTTCCAAACTTGGAGAAGGAAATTGTATTTGGCCCTGGCTATCCCAGGAAGAACCAATCTGCACACTTAATTCAGAAAAGGCCCTGGGAGGTCTATGCCAAAATTAGGGGTGAATACCAGAAAATAATACTAACGGTTGTACATTTGTGCAGATGGGATTGGGCTTGCTCCCTAGTGGGTAGAGGACAGACAAATAAGGATTAAAAACACTGAGCTGTCTTACGAGGGAGGATATGGCCCCCAACTTTAAAGACAGAGCCGTCAGGAGGGCTATAAAAACGTTCCTTAATTCTAGATGACATCTTAGGACAAACTACTTGTTAGTCTGTGGATTTCCAAGAGCTATGAAGTGGCAGTTTAACAATTTAGGTGAGTATTTTGGCCACTTTGCATTAGCATCTCATAATTGATACACAGCGATTTCGTAGTTGTGGACGTTCCTGTTTCCTCCAGTGGGCTTGAGCATGCAGATGGATGTGTGGCTGTCACTAAACTCACCACACGAGCGGTCACAGGCATGCCCTTTTCGTCCTTCTCTGCTGGGTCCAGCATTCCCAACTGGATGGCGAGGTCCCGATTCTTATCATCAATGATGGGAAAGGGTAGCTTTTCTGTGGGCTCCTCACCATTGTAAGCGTTGATATCCTGGAAGGCAGAGGAAAGGGGGCCGAGAATTCTAAACCTGACACACAATRAATTTCATCAGTTCATGGCCATGATCTTGCAAGGCAGGGAAAGTAAGCTTAATTTTCTCCAAGCAAGTTTAATATGATGATGAATGAATAAACAGTTCTTGTTCCAATTATTCAGACAGGAATAACAGCAGAGTATACGGCCAAAGCCCTTTTTAGGCCCAATTCTCTTAAATTCTGCATGCTTTTATGCTTTGAGAAGGCAGTTCAGCTTTAAAAGGGTTAGATTCCAATAGAAGGGAACTCTAGAACACTACAAAGAACACCAGAAACAATGGAATCAGCAAACATCCAGAAATGATGTCACATGTAAAGAGAATTCTATGGATCTGGTCCCCACCTAAAAGCCCCGTGACTTAGGTATCAGGCTACAAGACAGATATTGAGAAGAGCGTGTATGTCACAAAACTTAAAAAGAAACACAGAATGGACAAGCAAAAGGTAAAGCATTTTAAGTCTGAACTAGAGGAAAGAGACGGACGCACCTCCCTCTCCCTAGGAAAACTTCATTCATGTCTTMTTTGCTCTCCCTCAGGCTTCTGGAGGAAATTCAGTTGCATTATTTGATGGAGCTGAGAGGGCACTCAAGTGGGCCGAGCAGCCCAGCGACAGAGGTGGGATACAGGTAAGTACCACCTGGCTCAGCCTCAAAGGGACCTACACAAGGTGGCAGCAACTGACATCCTCACAGCACAGCTGAGCTGCGGAGGCTCCAAGGAAGGGGCAGACTTCTGAGTGGGCCCTCGGAGGAGGAGCCAGGTCCTCCACTGGGAAAGGCAGGCATTCTAGGACGGAGAGAACTATGAATGGGACCTGGAGGCAGCTTCACGCACGAGCTAGTGCAGGAGGGTGAAGAACTGAGCTGGGTAGATTTAGGAAGTAAAGAGAACGAGGACTTGAAATTGGGGAGAGAGCGGTGTGCACCCGTCTGCCATCCCCGCTGAGATCAGCCTGGTCAACTTAGTGAGGTCCTGTCTTAAAATAAAACAAGCTGGGAGTATACCTCAGCAGTAGAGCAACTGCCTCCTTGCATGCAGAGGCCCTGGGCTCAACCCCCAGTACAAAAAATAATAAGAGTCTATTTACAATTCATGTGGAGCCTTAAAAGTAAAACAGGTCATGGCACAGCAGGTACAAAACCTTTTTGCATTTCTCAACAAAGACAGGATAAAACTAATGAACTCTGAAATGGGTGACAACAGATTTTGACGTATTTCTTAATTTTATTACCTGAACTCTGTCATCACTGGATGCCTATCAAGTCACCACAACCAGGAATAACCAGTGTGGCTTCGTGTTGGAGGCACCTGGAGGTTTCTTACATAACCAGTTCTATGCCAGAGTCTTGGCCTAATTTCTGATTCAATTACAACTGTGAAGTTCACCAGAAGTAATGAACCTGGGTGTGCTCCTATACTTTACAAGGCCTTATACCACTGTTGCTTAATGATTGCCCCTTGCATAAAAGGCAGCATGCACATCATACCCTGGACACTGAAGAACACAGGCTTCAGCTTTATCCTATACAAGATCTGGCCAGTTCCACTCTTCACCATTTAGTACCAAAGAGAACCTCAGTTTGAAGTTCAAATCCCACCAGCACCATTTTCTAGCTAGGCAGTCTTGGGTAAATGTCTCCAAAATTGCCTGTGAGACACCTTAAGAAACACTGGTTATTCACTGCCAAATATCATAAAGAATGAAACAAGCAAACAAAAAACCACCTAAAGGAAGATAATGGCCCTTTTTCTTCCTGAACATGTTTCTTCTGATCTTAAACTTTTCAGATTGACTGGTGTGATCTGGCCACGGGATACAGCCCTGGTGAGCACTCACAAGTCATCAGGGTGTCCTTGACTTAGTCCTACACGCTCGTCAGACCCTCGCACACAGGAAAGCTCTCCTCAAAGGGAGCTGCTATTACTTGGCAGCACATTTAGCAAAGTCCTTAAAATGCCTTCAAGTTCTATTTAGACGACCAAATTTTAGGTCCCAAGTAAACACTTCTGCTGCAAGCAGACAATTTCCTCAGTTCATTCATTCCACAAACACCGCCTGACTGCCTGAGCTGCACCGAGTCTGGGGCTGTTTCAGGGGTGGACAAAACAGGAGTCCACCCCTGCTGGGCTCCACTCCAGTGGGAAGGAGTGAGTCAATAAAAGAGCACAGTGTGTTCTAGTTGGTCACAAGTACTGAGGAGAAGGGAGAGGGAGTGGAGCTGTAATTACAGACAGGGAGGTCTAAGGAAGGTTTTAATGGGGTGCCCTTTGAGTTGAGGCCCCCAAAGTCAAGCTGCTTAAATGTATCTGAAGAGCAAGTCTTCCCAACACGAATCTGGATAGATTTTGCAACTGGAGCCAACAAATCTGTGGATAAATCAGACAAGTGGTGTGAAAAAAATAAGAGGAATTAAGAATGGCTCCTGGACTTTTGGCCTGAGTAACTACAAAAATGTAGTTGCCATTAGCTAAGAAGAGTAAGACCCTGGGTTGAAGAATGGGACTATTTTGAGAGATGCTCAGCTTGAGATGACTGGACAGCCCACGGAGATGCCAAGTGGCTTTACCCTCCTGGAAGCAAGGAGAGATGAAACCTGAGAATCACCAAGGGAAAGAGTACAGATGTTAGAAGTGGCACAAGGAAGAAGCTCTGGGCAACTTCAGCAGACATTAAGGGCCGGGAGATGAAGAAGAAGAATCAGACTCGTTCTGAGGGGCAGAACAGTGACGTGGCATCCCACAAGCCAGGAGGGGACACGTTTCAGGACACAGGATGATGGGCTGGGCTGGATGCTACTGGTAATCACCACTGGCTGACACAGAGCCACTGGGTTTAGAAATGTCGAGGTCACTGTGACATCCAAGTCAGATTTTCAAATAACCAGTTTGAACCTGAGATTCACTTGTACCTTTACCTCAAAACCAAGCTACTTGATACAATTTACTTGACACACAGCCTCTATTCTCTCATTGAACAATCAACACAGGAGACTTTTAAAACCTCTGGTCACCAAGAAGTATGTGGGGCTTTCTCCCCACTAACAACCAATCAATTCTGCTTCTGACACCTGCTGGGTGACCTCTAACTCAACTCAGTTTTGAAACTATGTGTACCTGGAGACAGCATCATATGTCACAAGCTGAGGACTCAGTCCCATAAGATTGCCCCTTTCCTCCAATGCCAACTGCAAGTTCCAGGTTGCTGCACCTGTGCTTTTGACTTATGGGCTGTAAATTGTGGCCTATGACCCAATCTTTTCGTTTATTCTGCTAGGGTAGCTCACAGAACTCAGGGGTACCTTCACACTTACTGACTTACTAAAAAGGCTATTATAAAAGACACAGAGGGATAGCTGCATAGGGTGAGGACCGGGGAAGCCCATGCTGTCCCCAGGCACACCTTCCAGCTGCTATTCTGCAGCTCCTGGAACCCAGTCATTTTGGGTTCTTACGCAAGCTTCATTACACAGGCAGGGTTGGTTAAATCGCTGGACATGGGTGATGTCTCAACCTTCAGACTTTCCCCTCCCTAGAGGCTGGGAGGTGGGGCAGAAAGTCCCAATCCTCTAATCCTGCCTGGCTCTTTCCAAAGATCAGCTCTTGTTTGAAGCTACCAAGGGGCCTGGCAGCCATCTGCCAACTTGTTAGCATACAAAAAGACACTTATCAACTGGATGACACCAAGAATTTAGGAGTTGTTTGGGAGGACAACAGAGGGCCAGATATACATTTCAAACATCACAGAACTGTACCTTGCTCCAGGCAAGATGGTCCTCCACGCTGTCTATGGAGAGGGCGATCAACTTAACATTCTTCTTGGCAAACTCTGGTGCCAGCTTTGCAGCTCTGCCAAGCTCGGTGGTACAAACAGGGGTGAAGTCCCGGGGGTGGGAGAAGAGAATGCCCCATCTGAAAGGAAGAAGAGGTCACCACTGAGTGAAGCGTCAAACACTGTGCAGCGCAAGAAGCCACACAGCATCTGGGTTAAACCAGGCCCCTCCATTCTTTGTTTTTTAAAAGAATGTTATGAAGACATTTGCTTTTAAACCTTTTGGTTGAGAAATACTTTCCAATCCCAGCTCCAGAAAAGACTCTACTGACAGTTCAATCAAATATTCAGGGTGTTCCCTTCTTTAATAACTGTGGAGCCACCCTGACTCTTTTGGCTAGTAAAATCTGTGCTACTTAAGTGGCTTTTTTTTCCCCTAGCATAGATGTTGACATTCAGCTCCCCAAATGTCCCAAATGCAAGCAGATGCCTGACTGCATTAATAAACAAGATTATGTAATCTAAAACAAATAGGCTTCTATCCTCCATTTACAAGTAAAATTAAGGTTGACACTTGGTTTCTTCAAAGAGTGGATATAAACTCTTGTAAAGCTACTTTACTGATCCAAGCTGACTTTCCCAAAGCTTGGCAAGTTTCCTGAGCATCAAGAACAGAACACACGAGGGTACCTCCTTCCCACCTCCACCTGCCACTCAACTCCCAAAACTTCAGGGGAAGAAAAGGCCTCCAAACAGGATGAAGGCAAGTTGGGGAAGGAGCGATGCTTACTGTAGAGGTGAGAGGTGTGTGGCATGTTTAGTTTTTAATAACAGGCAATAATCTAGCTCTGAGTAACATCCAGGCCTTAGATTTTATGAAAGGATCAGATGAGAAATAAGAAAAAGACTTCAGAATTTGTGAAAAACTGAACAGGGCGATTCTTCCCTTAGTGTCAAAGGGGCAATGAGTTAGAAAGTGGAAGTCTTTTTCCATTGTGAGTCAAGAGACAGTTCTGCTGACTCATGGTGGCGAACTGGTTTTAAGTCACTTCATTAGAAGACCCTCCATCTTCTTGGCCTGCCTTCCCCTAATACTTTACTGCCCTGTTGCTGCTCTTAATTCAAGAGTAATTCAGTTACATTATTCCATTTCCTTCCTTCCTCATTTTCAAAACACAAAAGGTTTCCCCCTTTAAGAGAAAGTCCCAGAAAGACCCTGGTAAAGATGTTTGGTTCAGTGAAGATGTGCTATGAAGAAGCTGCCCTGAGCACACACAGAAGTGGCAAGGCTCTGTAAACTCCCAGAACACAGTACTGAAAAGCCCTTTGTTTCCGAATTTCAGGGTGGGTTAATTTATTTTTTTTCTCCAAGATGAACACCTGGATCAGAAATTGGTAGTCTGACTTGAGATCAATACAGAATGGCCTTTGGAAAGGCTATTCTTAATAATATGAAGGCCTAAAACTTCTTTTCTAGGCAGGGTTGGCACTGCCATGCCTGACCCTAGGCAGACTTGTGTATCTGTTTGTAGACGCAATATTTCTTCCTATTTGTGGCTCCCTAAAAAGATAACTCTTTTAATCAAAACCAGAGGCCATTAAGTGATCACAAACAATCAGAAAAGTATGGAAGGCTTAAACAAGGGTCATAATTGTTGCTACAGTAAATATAAATATGCTTTAATATGTATCTCTAATCCATACAAAATTAAGAGTTCTGGTGAGATTTTGTTTCATGGGGTGTGGGAAGGAACACACTGGAAAGAGATGAATACTTATACTTGGAGTTTGAACTGGCCATAGTCTATTTTTAAAGTTCTCTTCTGCTGCAAGGTCACCCCTTTTCTAGCCTAGCCCTTTATTTTCTGAATATTACCTCTAATCAGAAAGCGGAGAAGGTACTTAAGAGGTTGAAAGCTGTTGGGAGGGCCTATTGTGTAAGAATCTTTCCCAGGTTCTCTCTACAGGCCTGACCAGTTATTGATTCCTTCCATAAGCTTCTCTGTCACTCTGCATATATATGCATGGACACTGGATACAAAAGGGACACAAATCCAGGAGGAATTTTCCAGCCTGGGAGCAGGGGTTTAAAAAGGTCAATAAAACTCCAAAACTAAATAGAACTAGACTCCTCTGGAATGTTTCTGATTGTAACCAAACATCTCACACTTTGCTGATTCAGGAGCTGTAAAAAAGGGTGTCATCAGTTTATTCCTAGGTATTATGATGACAGAATGCCAGGCCAGATCACGGGTCAATCTGGCCAGCGAGGCCATGTGCTGGCCGAAGGGGGAGGGGACCACTGGGAAACAAAAGGGCCTCCGGGTGGGGAGTTACCGCGTCCTGGCACCTCTGTGGCTACTTCCCTCCAAGTGTTGCAAGTTCTGGAATGAAGGACACACGTACCCACTGCGCGGTCTGGGTTCCTCCGAAAACTGTTACCAAATCATATCTTGGCCATCGAAGGAGGCCCTGAACAAAAGCTCTTTCAGCCAGCGAGCGGTTTTAAATTTTACGCTGTGTCCAGAAATCGGCCAACCCCACTGCGTGAGCAGAACCCTCAGATAACCCGGGCCGTGTCCTCCCACCTGGGCCTTGGGCACCCACCTCCCCCAGGAAGCAAATTCCAGGACAGAGGAACGGAGGTCTGTGGGACCCGCCACTAGTCCCGGGAAGTGACCGCCGGTCCCTTCCCCGCGCTCCCTCCTCGGGCCGCGTTGCTCGCCCAATTCACTACACCTCCAGGGCCAGCACCCGCCGAGGCCCGGGTCTCCCCTCCCCTGGCGAGCCGGGGCCCAGCGACCGCGCAGGACCGCGGGCCGCGGCGGCAGCAGCGCTGGCAGGTGCGGCGCAGGGGACACGCCGCGGCGGGCACGTGCGGGGACCGGTGCGGCGGGCGGCGCGCAGGGGGCGGCGCGCAGGGGGCCGCGCGGGCGCAGGAGGAAGGGGAAACCGGGAAGCGCCTCGGAGCCCCGGCCGCACGGAGGCCACTTACGAGTCTCCCAGGAAGTCGTGGAACCGGATGCGTCCGATCGTGGTATTGGCCTCGAAGTTGGGAGCTTCGTCCCCGAGAAGGAGCCCTCCGGGCATGGCGGCACCGGTGACGAGAGGACGAGCAGGCGCAGCCGCAGCAGAATGAGCCGCTGGCGGGGACCGAGAGGTGCAGGCTCGCGGGGAGTGGGCGGGGCCGGGGCGGGCCGGGGGCGGGGCCGGGGCGGGGCTCCGGGACCGCGGCGTCCCCGGGAGGGGGGCCTCCCACCTGGCCGCCGCCCGCGGGCGCCTAGGCCGCCTCTCCACGCGCGGGCGGGGCTCGGGAACGTGGAACCCGCAGGGCTGGGGCTGCGCGGGTTTGACCCCGCAGGGCGACCGGGACTAGGGTGGAAGGAGCGGGGCGCGGTGGAGGGGAGCCCCGGGGCGGGGACTCCTGGGCCGGCTCCTGCAGCTGCGCGCCTCCGCGCGGAGGGTCCCGGACCCCGGTGTACACCTTCTGGCGGCGACTCCCCACCGTGGGGTCGAGCGACCTCCCACTTGCACCCTTCTTTTCCTGTGACTGTGGCCAGCCTAGCCTTGATGAGCCGTGTCTCTGTCAGGATGTGGCCAGACCCAGGCGTTTGGGGGACCCTGTGTCATAGGAAGTGGCTTTTTTATTGCAGCAAAAATGCCGGGCCAATGACAGTGCTAAGGTAATGGAACCAAACTTTTATTTTGCCCCCCCCCCCCAGCGGTTCTTTATTTTTTTTATTTTTTTATAAAATTTATTTTTTTAATTTTTTTATAAAAATTAAATACAATTATCTTGAAATCTAAATATAAAATTTAAAACATACTTAATTGAGATCTGCGTACAAATCACCTCTCACCTGGGGAGGTGGGAGGTTTAGATCCATTATTTCCTTGGTACGTGCCAAGCACGACATAGATAAGCTTGTTCTCTTACAGCTTTCATTCTTTGGCGGGGGGGATGATAGGTGTCAGAAAATATGCATGTAAATAAACGAGACTATATTATAAAGACTTAAGTCCTATGCAGAGAAATAAAATAAGGTTATGTGTTAGAGGGTGAATCGAGGGTTGCTTTGCATTGTGTGGTCTGGTCTGGGAAAACCTCCAGATAATATAGATAATGCACTGTAGTGAAGCACTGGTGGCTGTTATTTGGATGATAATAATGATTCATGCAACAACTTGTACTTGCCCTACTATGTGCTAGGCCCCTTATAGCTAATGCACTCTCTCTAATTTGTCTCTAAGCTTTGGTTTTAAAAGCACCACATTTCCACTCCTTTTGTATGGGGAGAATGAAGAACTGGGAGAGAAGGGTAGTTTGACCTTAAGGCACTGTTAATGGCGTGTTGTGGAGATGGGCCAGAAACAGGACACACCATAGATATGGACAAATGAATTCAGACACAGATAATTGATCTTTATCAAAGGCATAATTATATAACTGTATGTTGTAAAGTAAGCAAACATAATAAACATTGTTAGAATTTATAACACCAGAAGCTGCATACTGGCAAAGCTTCTGTATTCTGTGAACTTGGTTGCTTTAGCCTTTGCAGCATTTAAAATTCCTTTAAATTAGCTTTTAACATTTTAACAACATGATTTTTCACAAAAATGCCTGGATTTCTGGCTCCTGAAAAGTCAGAAGATCTAGCAACACCAGGCCCATGCTCCACTTGGCAAACTGCGCTGGAGAGTGGCCTTCATAGAGTTTTGTGTTCCCTGTCACGATGAAGGTCCTCTACTACTTACTGACSTTACAGTAGAATTAGAAGGAAAATGAAATAGTTCTGGCCTCCCTATGTGTGTCAAAATTCTGCAAAATGACTCAAGAGCCTGTTTCAAGAAAAACTAGATCAGCACGTTTCTTGGTAAAAGTAGAGTGTTCTTGTATGTTTGATATGTAAACAAAGTTGGAACTGCACTGTTCTGCTTGGTCCTTGTGGGTAATTCAGTTTAACCTCTGGCCTGTAACCCATGGTAGGCACTCTGTAAAGGGTCAGTGAAAAGTGCATGGAAAAGAAGGAAAGGAAGAGAGTTGCAGAGGCATTCCAGGAGACCAGAATGTGGGAAAGGGAGAGCTGGGCGAAGGGAGATGAAAGCTCTGATACCAGAGAAATACAAATGTTTTCAAGCATCTTCAAGAGTTGGAGAGAACATTGAAATCCTTAGAACTATCTCCCAAGGGACAAGAAGGAAGAGGATGCAGGGATCTTCCGAGGCTGTGAGGCTTGGATAATTCACATTCTCTTCTGACCTTACTGCTTTGAACAGATTGAAGAAAAGGTGAAGGAATTGGCCATGACCTTTTGAAGAATAGCACTATGATATGATATCTCTCTTTCCTACTAGAATGTGGCCCTCAAAGGTTTGGCTGTTTTTTATTGATAAATATTTGTAACCTGTTAAACATAGAAGGTTACCTTCCTGCAGCTACAACTGCAAATTTTCTTGACTCCCCAAAATAGAGACTAAAAATCCCTGTTATAATTAGGTAAAAATTTTTATGCATGTGGTAGGGGACCCATAAAACTCAGAAAATTCATGTTAGGATGGTGGGATTAAGTTTTAAAAAACAGTTTTATAAATTTTCTTGTTAGATTCGCTTCTTTTTGGGGAATATAAATAAGGCAGCAGGGGCACAGGGTCACAAGCTGAATGATGGCCAGATAAGACAGTAAGCAAAGTCCTAACAGCCAGGTAACAGAGTGGGGATTGGCAGGAACTCAGGAGCACAGCTGCAGATGGCTCATGGCTCTCTTCCCTGTGTACAGGTGATGTCATCTCATCCTGTGGCTTTAAAGTACATCTCTATGCTGAGGATACCTATTTTCATCTTCAGACAAGCTCACYGTCTGTATGGCCGGCCAGTGCCCATTTGACACCTTGACCTGAATGTGCCCCAAACATTTGAAATAGGTCCAAAATGTGACCCTTAACCACCCAAGTTCATTTGATCCATAGCAATTTTCCCTTTCTCTTTAGAAGAAGCATCATCCTGATTTCTCCTAAGCCCCACAGGAGTCTTAACACCAAGTTCCAGTGATTCTGCCTTCAAAGCRTGTCTTGTAGCTGTTCCGGTTTCCATCTCTACTCCTCGCCTCTGCATTCAGGGCTGTTAGTTTGTTTCCTTTTAGCTCCAAACTTGCCTTTCTTTTTGTTCTGTGGATACTGAGCTGTGCCCTGCAAGCCGTGTTTTCTGCCTGGTGTCAAGCTGGAGTGGAAGGTATTGAAGGGATTCTCGAGGCTGGAGAGGGAAGAAAGAACTTATCTTTTTCCTGTTGTGCTCATGACAGAGTGGGTCAGCACACAGCTGGCCCTGGCAGTGGCCTGGTGAGCAGGTGTCTTCACTGCAGTGGTGGGTGGCATATTTCTGCAGCAGCTGACCATCTTCTCAGAGGCCTGAATTGTGGCTTCTTGTGGGTCTTCTCTGCAGTTCTCAATGTCTTCCTTGTTAATCTTCCCCTCAATCCTAGGAGTGATTGCCCCTTTTTTGTTTTTTTTTTTTTACACCATACAATTTAATTTTTTTAGTAGTTAACCACTTTTTTTTTTTTTTTTTTTAAACCAAGGTAACAGTTCATTACAGTCCCAGTTTCATTGTTTCAGTTAGTGTGTGGTTTCTGTCTCTTGACTGGACCCTGACTGACACCAAAGTTGGGACCAGGAGTAGTGCTAGGAAGAGACTCTCAAATATTGTTTTGGGGGTTGTTTTGCTCTGAGCCTTTTCTAATGGGCAACCCAGTGCCATCATCCCTGACATTCGCTGGCCCCACAATCAAATGAGCACCCTTGGTTGATTGTGATGAAATGCCAGCTGTAGCTGTGCTGTGGGGGCCCAGGGGGCTGCTGCACTTGATGTCAGGGCAGGACTGGTGGTGCAGGGTGGGTATGGCCGAGCGTGGTGGAGTGCTTACAGATGAGGCTGAAGACTCCAATCCTTGAACTGTTGGTCTAAATCTTGAACTACCGTGGCAGCCCTAAAATAACCTTTTACTTCTTGTAGCCACAGAGTTGATACTGKTAAGTTCAAAGGCCAAGTTTGATTGAAGCAGTGACAGAGTAACAACATCCGTTGAATTCACAGCCTTGCCATTCACATTTTTCATGTGAAATATTAGGGCCATTGATTCAGGAAGGCAGGAAACCCTAAAACTCAAGGTGGGGATGTTATGGTTTGGATGTGAGGTGTTCCCTAAAAGCTCACGTGTGAGACAAGGCAAGAAGGTTTGGAGGAGAAATGGTTGGGTTATAGCCTTGATCCAATCAGATTACTCCCCTGGTGGGATTCACTGAGTGGTAACTGGAGGCAGGTGGGGTGTGGCTGGAGGAAGTGGTTCATGGGGGGGGGGCTATGGGGTATATATTTTGTATCTGGCAAGTGGAGACCTCTCTCTCTGTTTTCTGATCACCCCATGAGCTGCTTTTCTCTGCCACACTCCTCCATCGAGATGTTCAGCCTCACCTGGAGCCCAGAGGAGTGGAGCCRGACTTCTGTGGACTGTGACCYCTGAAACTGTGAGCRCTCAAATAAACTTTTTCTCTTTTATGATTGTTCTGTTGGGTATTTTAGTTCCAGCAGTAAAAAAGCTGACTAAAACAGGGGACGTGTGGTTGGACTCAAATGAGGCTGAGAACCCCGAACCCCGGTCACGCTGAGTCAGCCTGGCCAGTGCAGGGAGCTGGCTCTTCTTTGTTTAGAAGTCTTTTCCTTTCCCCTCCAGAACCTAGTAACTACCTCACTGGAGCAGATGCCTCACAAAAGAGAGGATGCCCATTCTCCTCAAAACTTACCCATCTCTTGTTTTCATGAGCCCATTATTAGGGTCATCTCCACTGTGTTCCAGTGGCTGCAGGTTCCTGAGTTAACTAGGTGCCCAGCTCACGTCCCCAGATTCACCTCCTCAGGGAGTCACTGTGTGCTCTGCAGGGGGAGTATTGGCCGAGACGGCCTTGCTGGACACCACACTCCGTATTCTTAAGCAGTCTCTTTTGACACCACGTTTTCAAAACTAAAATTGCGAAGTGATATTAAATTAACTCGTAAATGGAAGTCTCTCAAAGGAAACATAGGCCTGGTGGCTGTGGGCAATTCTGCACTTGTCAGGACTGCCTCCGTGCCCCGCCAGCTGCGATGAACATGGTTCTAGCTTCCT